TTAGAGGTCTCATGAAAAAAAAAAAAAAAAAAAAAAGATTTAAATGGACTGAACTTATATTGCGCTTTTCCAATCATTTTGACCACTCAAAGCGCTTTACACGAGAGTCAAATTCACACATTTATACACCAACACTGTTTCCTCACCAAATGTGGGCTAGCCCCCCTATTCAGCAGCGTGCGCCCGAATCCTCACTGGGGCCGGTGTCACCTCCCTCGTCACTCCGCAGAAATGATTGCACTTGGCCACAATAAATTTTAAAGAGGAGCTAGTTATTATGTGTGTGGGATAACTCCATTTGTCCCATTGGTCTTTCACCCTCAGAGTCATAATGTGGGTGCTCTAGAGAGCTTTAAGAGATGATGTCTAAACGTTGCACACACTGTCTCACAGCAATATGAGGCGAAGCAAATAGTGAAACGTATGCAGATGGTATCTATAGTAACTGTCGGTAGGTCTTAATGACTTTACATATGAACAACAGAGACAGTTACATTCATCTAGTGACTAGAAAGTTGCGTAACATGGTGCAAAAGATAAGCAGTTTGAACTCGGTGGAGCACAAAGAATAGTTCAGGGCCCTTCAGCTCGGTGTAAGGACGACAGCAGTGCCGCACAACTTGTTCCAGGGCTTTCACTGGACGAAACTCAGAGAATTAACACACATTTGCTGCTTTTACTGTGTGTGTGTGTGTGTGTGTGTGTGTGTGTGTGAGCGTGTGTGCGTGCATGTGTGTGTCTAAATAAAGTCTTTGCTAATGACTTACCTCTTGCAGCAGCTGTTCATCTCTTATGAATGTTTTCTCCAAGCACCGCCAAACTCATCTCAGCCTCCTTCTCTGATTGGCTGTTGGATTGTGAGAATTGGTTGATAGTTCTTGACACATGACAAAACAGACATGAGGTTATGCAATAAATTAAGAAGAGTAAGGCGTGTAATTGAATACTGTCCGGACATTCAAAATCTTGTACGGGGTTGCTGTGGGAATGAGTAATTCAAATCCAAATTGTTGAATTCGTTTGCTTTTGTCGCAGTTGTACGTCTTTTTTTGTTCACTCTTTTTCTCAATTTTGTTTATTCATTCTTTAGTTTTTAAATGTAAAAAAAAAAGAGAGAAGATTCAAAAGAATGGAATAACAACGCAAAACTGGTTTCAAATATATAACTCAGGACACTACAAGTAAGATGAATATTAAAAACAAAATTCTTCAAAAGTATATTAAAAAAAATCCTTTTTCAGAGCTTATAGCCATCTCTGAATGTTTTTCTATTCTAAAGGGCATAGTAGCTGTTTCCTCTCCCTGCTATTTCCCTCTGCCGTCCTTGTTTGCAATTATTGCTGCCATTAACTTTATGCTCGCTGTCATTTCCTTCTCTAGCAGCCACACCTGCACCGGTGATTCTGTGTACGGCTGTATCTTTTTTTTTTTTTTTTTCCCTGCACAAACACACTGACAAATATACTGCAAATATTAACTTTGTATTCGTTCTCCCCCTCTTCTTCATACTGGAACTTTACTTTTTTAATTTTCAAGAAAAAGGAGCTGTTATTCTCTCAGGCATGTGAACCCAGTCTGCTTCTCAGAGCAAAACGAGGGCGTCAAAGTCTGCGGCTGAAACCTGAAAACAGAACTCCGGTTCCTAGAATGATTTAAACTGAGAACGAAAAAATATTCACAGAGTGTAAAGAGGGAGGACGGATTAAAAGTAAATTCCTATTACGGTAAGAAGCAAAGAAAGACAAAAACTGAGAACACATCATCATCATCATAGTCATCATCAGGCTGCCAAACATAAACAAATATAGTCATTACTTTAGTGATTTGGACTTTCTTTAACTTTCATTTGTATGACATTCAAACAGACCCAGGGAGTGTTTTATGTCACATCGTAAGAGTATAGCATGTTTTTTTTTTTTTTTTACCACCACATGGTTTGAGGATATCAGGGACAATGTGGAACTACGTGTTTTGTACAAGGTCGTCCTGACACTGGAGGTGTGTGGACTGGATTATTGTCGTTTTCTTTTTAAGATCCACAGCAGCCAGAAAATAGTGCAAACTTCTAGCAAACTCTCCATATATGGAGTTATAAAAAGTATATAATTAAAATGTTGTGCTAAATCTTTAATTCTTAAAATCATTTGGAGGAGATTTTCAGTAAGTGGAATAGTACATCAGCATATGTCTGTTACCAGTCTGTCTTCATAATTTTTTATCTGTTAAATGTAAGTTTTAGACAAAAACAAAAAAACACCTCAGTGTTTGTAATAGATCGTATTTCTCTTATGTCACATCCGTTAAAAGTGCATGCATAAAAAAATGTTATATAATTATATTTCACACAGACCTCCAAATGATAACACTCAGTCACACCCCCTTCACACAAACACACACACACAGCATTTGTGAACCTGTCCAGTGTGTACAATAAAACCCCAGCAACTGTGCACGAAACTCAGACCAGTCCGTTTGTGTTTACGCATCTTAAATCAGGTTTAAAAAAAAAAATGCTTTAATTTCCATCGCAGGAAAGCAAGCTTTTAAAAACACCCAAGGGAGCCATTTTCTGCAGACCGCAGGGCTACGCAATCAAAAAGTAGTATTCTAATGATCCCTGACAAGATTGTCAGATGATATCCTCCAGGGTGCGATGATGCTTTACATTACAGTGGAGGGATCAATAGGAAAGATGACTGCAGAGGGAGAAGGAGTCAGGAGCCTGCAGTGCACTAAGCATTAGGCTTGTGCTAATTCCTCTGAGTCCACTTGACCCCATGAAAACTTAATTTATAAAAAAAAAATGATTCAATACACCTTATCTAAGGAATTACATATAAACTACCCCTAAAATATAGTTATACTCCTTTGGTCTTTTTCACATTTTGCCTCATGTAGGGTATATGCAAGGGTTGCCTGTATAGGGTAAAACTAATACTGCACACAAAACTGAAATCACCATCTCCACTGGGAAGTTTGGTGATGGCAGTCTCATGCTGTGGGAATGATTTTATTGTTTTGGTAGCGACAGAGAAGCTGGTCAGAGTTGATGCAGAAACGGATCTGAAAACCCAGCTGGGGCTGTAAAACACTTCAGACTGCGACAGAGGTTCACCTTCCAGGGTAACCACCTTACAGATTCAGATAAAAGAATGTTTTGGATCAAAGTACATTCATATGTCATACTGGCCCCAAAAGATTTGTAGCTGTATCTGCAGAAAATGATATTTCCGCAAAATATTGAGTCGGGCGGTATGAATAAGATTCATTTGTAAAGATTCCGAAAAGCATTTTTCCTCTCAATTTCCAAACATGTGATGGTTTGGGGGGGAAGCCGTCTGGATGAAAAAAAAAAAAAAAGAAGAAAAACAAAACATGAACACCGTATGCGCTGGGTTTTTACCTTAGAATGGCCAACTCTCTGTTATTCCTCTGTCAATTTGATACAGTAGTGTCTTCCACACTTCCCATATTTGTGTCCTCTGTCACTTTTATCAGCAGTTAAAACTGTTTAATCCGTTGTTAACATGTCGTAACCTGTTTTTCCGAGCCGCCTTTAAACGCAATATGAGGGCTGCGACGCTCGCGCTGGGTTTCCACCTGTGAAGGAGACCTGCTGCTGCTGTGGAGCTACGTAGGTTTGTGTTAGAATCACGGCAGCAAACCAGCAAAACGCAAAGAACTTTTCACAGTTTTTCCCTCCAAACTAACCGACTGAGTTGAGTGAAGCTGTTGGATGCAGGTAATGTTAGCTAAAAGATGACTAGCTAATATCAATACAGAACCTTAAGCTTAACAAGTTACCTGTAGGCTACCGATGTTGTTGTCTATGTCCAGCTATGGAAACCGCTGGGGGCAGGGGGCCCAGGAGAAAACATTTGGGAACCACTGCCCTAAGGAAAGATTTATCCAGGTGCTGGGTGGGTGAGTTGTGCAGAGGCTGCAGTCCTCAACACAGTTTGTTCTGGCTTCGATTCTCTTTACTGCATGTCGGCCCCTTTTCTGTCCTCCCTGTTTCCTGTCCATTTACTGCTAATAGAGGCCACAATAGCATAAAAACACTAAGATAACCCACAAACCCTAGTAGAGGGCGAAATATGTAAAACTCAAGAATTCAAATGAGCAAAGTATACTATTTGCTATGATTGCATAAGATAAGCCTGGAAAAGAATTAAACAAAGCAATGCATATTTATGCTTGGAAGTCTGAAATAAAAATAAAAAAATAAAATGTCTAGACATTTCTACAGAAAATCCCCATAAAAGGAAGAAATGACATGTCTTTTGTTCTGTTATTTTCAGCATTTTTTTGCTTCTGGTTTGATACTGAAGGTTGGCTTTCTGAATGGTAAAATTTGGAACGTAGACGTAAGAAAAGAAAAAAAAAACAAAAACTAAAAAGAAAGATGCTCTGTCCTAAATTCTCTGGTAACAGTTTTGCGATTCGGTTATTAAAGATGAGCATGAGGAACACACGCTGTACCTTCACAACAATCTCTTGTCTTTCTTTTCCTCCATCTATACCAGCAACCTGAACAGAACACGCCTCCTTCTCCTGAGGCGCTCAGTTTCTTTGTTTCTACTTCTCCCAAACACCTGTGGAAAAAAAAAAGAAGAAGAAGAAAAGAAGTCAGAAGCAAAGAACTAGTGGGAGTTACTCTGACTAAATTTATCGAACGGGCAACGGAGCACGCTCAAAAGATGCTGCCAAGATGTTTAGGAATGCCTGACTGTTAAGATCTCCCAGAAAAGAGAGCTGCATTTTCCTGCCGATCAGACTGGAAAGGTTAGAAACACTCATTAAGGGCTGATTAAAATTGTATTTTGATGGCAACACAATGACTCTCAGTGGGTGTTTTTATGAAAAAGCGCATTTACTTTGATCAGAATAAGAATATGGTTCTTGAATTAGTCCATGCAAACAAAACAGATTTAAAATGACTCTGAGCCCAGTGGAAGCAAAACAATAGTTTTTGTTTCATTTTCAGTTTCTGAGAAACTTCCTGTAATTCCTCAAGTCCTTGCAGATAGAATCAAAGCGCATGCGTTTAGACACAGTCACACTTTTGTTCATTGCTTATTGAGATCCGACCAGAGGAAAACAGTATCTCATGTTCCTTTCAACTGTGATGGAAAATCATTAACTCCTGAGAGAAAAGTAATTAGACGGCAGAGACACTATGGGGAACACCGACGGTTTCTCTTTCCTATGGGTAGAGGCAACAAAACAAAGACAGTTCAAATGTTATTTTGCTCTAAACGATGATAAAAACTTTGATTTTATTCTTTGCCTGCTTGTAGGTATATGCTATAGAGAGCTTATTGTTGATGTTTTTTTTTTATAGCTTGTTTTGACACAAATACAATTCAGAACATTCAGACTCTGCCATGTTAGGAAGAATTTCAGTGTATATTTAACAGGATTACAAATGATGTACCAACACAAATGAAGTGGAAGAAAATTAAAACCTTCATGATGTTCCAAATTTTTCAATAAAAATCCAAATAGTGTGTCGCTTGTTTGCGTTCAGCCATCTTATCAGACGGTGAACATGGTCCACCTTTGTCTCACATAGTCTAAATACAATCATATCTCTACTGTAAAAAGCTTCAGGAGCTTGCTTCTTAAAACTAGCGAACAAACAGCATCAAGTAGACCAAAGAACGCATCGGGCAAGTCGGGGATAAAATTGTGAAGAAGGTCAAAGCTGGGTTAGGTAACACAATATCTCAGGCTTTGAACTTCTCGTGGAACACTTCAATCCATCATCCGAAAATAGAAAGGGTTGGGCACAACTGCAGACCTACCAATAACCATCCAGTCCAACGTATAGCAAGGAGAACATTAATCAAAGAAGCAGCTGGGCCTGTGCTCTGGGGGAGCTGCAGATGGCTTCGATGGGAAGATGGCTGGAGCTAACTTCAGAGCTAAAATGGCACAAAACACGCTTATTCAAATAAGTGTATTCCTATACATATAAATTGGAAAATTTATATTTATGGGCACTTTCCAGCCAATCTTATTTTTCTGAGTTATTTTGCTGGTATAACCCTAGAAGACTTGCAGCAGGTCCTTTGGGGATGTTTTTCACCTGTAATAGACTTTTGCAGAATCAACTTTTGCTGCTCTAACTGCGTAAAAGGGGGATTCTGCAAAGTCAGGGGCCGAAGAGAAATGAGTGCCAACCCTTTAACGATTTTTATTGATGAACTGAGGGATACTTTTCATAACTATGAACTACTTTATATCACATGAAGTCCCAACATGTAAGCGTGCGACTGCATGACATTGTGAAAGAACTTTTACGGTGTATGAATTGTTTTGCAGAGTCCTGCACGTAATGCGTCACCACATGAGTCCATTAGCGCCTGTGACTTTGAAGATTAGACACACACAGGTGCAACAACCTGAGGAAGCAGAAGAATACAGAATAAAGTTCAACTACTTCTGAGACGAACATTATAGAGGCATGTCTATGACGACTGGATGTCGGCGTGTGAGTCCTCATACCATTTTTTATTTATTTTTTGTTCTTTTCTTGTGAGCATCACAGATATGACGGCGCAGAAACCACGTGTTTTACGTAATGGAAAGCCAATCTTTCAATTCAACTCCTCCTCCCCGCCTCTTCCTAACAGAGGTAATTCATGCGAACGTCTCCTTCCCTTGCGCGCCGCACTTTTCGGAGATGTCAGCAGCGTGGTGATGAAAAGACTTGGAGCAAATTAACCCACAGAGGGGAAGAGACGCGAACACACTCCGGGAAATGCACGGACACACCACCAAGAGCCCGAACCTGGCTTCCGCGGAACCGCTGCGGCGTGGGACCTCATCTGTGAGAAATTAAAACTGGGGCTTGCTTGTGCTCGCTACATGTCCTCTCCAAAGAATACGCCTCGTACGAGACGTGAATTGGGCTCGGTCCCGCCAGCGATGAGGCGTTCCGCCGGGGCTGTCGTTGCAGCAGTGTGTGCATAGGATGCATCCTCCCCTGGCTTTTTGATGCTGTGCAGATCCACCCTCCTCTCTCCTCAGAGTGATGAACTAACAGGCAATGATTTTCTCCTCGGAAATCAGCCGTGGTTTCACGTCTTCACGTTAGTTGTGTTTGTTTACGGACGACCCGTCTCCTCCAGGTTGCGACACATGCAATTTATAGAGTATTTTTTCTACTGTAGACTAGTTGAGGGGGCATCCTCCACACACGGCAGAGGGGAGAAGAAAACACACCATTATTCCGAAGTCTTGACAGACACTGACTGCTTTTGAATGAAAGCGCACGGGACTTGGATCTATAGCCCACTTGTTTCTTTCCTTCTATGTTCCAACTGGTAGCCTTGTTAGGGGGAACTGATCCAATTGTGTTATTATGCAACCGCAAGGATCTCATCTATATCTGGGTGTATAAGCCACTGGATTGCTCTTCGCCCAAATCAATGTGGTTTCTTTGGAACATTTTCAGCAAAGGAACGCATATGCTGCAGTGTCTTTGTGGCAAGAGTCTTAAGAAAAACAAGAATCCAAGTGGTAAGCTCATCACCATGTTATGCATATACACTCCTTCGTCTCTATGTCAGCCGGCGCGATGCCTGTGCGTGTGGGTTTAAGTGTGAAAGAGTCTGGGTTAAATTGGTGTTTTTGTTTGCGTGCGTGCGTGTGTGTGTGTGTGTGTGTGTATTGTGGATCTGCAATCATATTTATGCAGCCGGCGGATCATGCAGAGGCAGAAAGAGAGAGGAAAGGGAGGGAGGTTGGGAGGGAGGGAGCGAGGGGTGCGGGGGGGTATACAACTTATTCTGTGCGGCTACTACGTATCGGAGAGCCCAGGTTTGTGGACGCAGCGCTCAGACACGCATACAGCAACAACCCCCCCGCCCATCCCCTCACCGCCTCCCTGCATCACCACAACGCCGTGATCTCCTAACTTTTTAAATTACGCTTGCTCACTCTTGCTCTTTCCGTCTCTCTCTCTCGCACACACACACACGCGCGCGCACACACACACACACACACACACGCACGCAAGCATACGCCGCAAACGCTCACACACACTGAAGCTAGATGTTCTCTCAGAGGTTCAGATTTTCTTTCTTTTTTTTTCTTCTTTTCCTTTCTCCCCCTCCTGATTCCTGCTAACTAGATTATTCCACCGTCGGGTTGACTGCAGCAGCATCCAACCCCCCCCCCCACCCTCCTTACCCTCCTCTTTTACCCTGCATCCCTTCTTTCTTAAATGAGCTCCACTGTGTTTCCTGCCAGAAGGAGACAGACCAGTCTTTCATGTCTGTCACTTTGGTGTAAATGCGGGCCAGTACTCATCATGCGGGTGATTTTTTTTTTGGAGGAGGGGGGGGGCACTTTGTGTCGATCTTATGTGGGAAGAAGAAGGCAGGTGGTTCAAAGGTGCGAACAAGGCTCCATGTTGCAACAGAGACTCCCTCTCCACCAACACTGTTCCCAATCCGTTGCTTGAGCCGTCCATCATTTTTTTTGGCCACTCTGTAGTGTTTACCATAAGTGCACTGCACAGCGTTGCTTATTCCTTGGTTTCAGGGGCCACAGGAGCCTCTGGTTTTCTCAACAGGCTGCCAAAAAGCAGCAGGCAAGACAGCAGCAGCGTCAACCTCATGCATCAGATGTAGAGATGTTGTGCCCAGCAGCAGCAGCAGTACAGTTTCTGAACGCTGCAACTGCAGTACAGTAGATCAACGGCATCGTCCCGCTGTAGTAGGGTTATGTCTCGATGACACTGCCGTGTTAAAATCGTGACTCTGTGCCCTTAAAACATGCTCAGGTATAGAGTATAGTTGTTAGTCTATCTCACCTAAAAATGCTTAACTTTGCATCAAAGCGCCATAGTTATACATGGGGCTAATATAAAATCAAGACCTGGAATATTATGTGACAGATCGACAAAAGTATAGTACGTATTTGCACTTTGTCAGCCAGTTAAATAACTACCAAATAATCATACATAAATACTCGTGGACAGATGTTTTCATAGTTACATTTTATAGCATATTTAAAGTGAGAAAAACGAATGGCAGCAAGGAAAATAACTGTCTTCCGCTACAAGTTTGGCTTGTTCATGACTTTTAAAGCATCTGATAGATTAAGAACTTCTTTTGCAAGTTTGGATAAATCTGAATCTGTCTTGACATAGGCCCAAAGGGTAGTCTAGAATCAAGTTTATCTCGTTTCTAAACAAGGAATAGTTCAAAGTTTATGAAGTGAGGTTATATCTGGTTTTATTAGTGATAGTTGTGCCACCTGAGGTGGAAAATTGACATATCATTATAAGTTTGTAGTAAAGTCCTCAGAGATGGTCAAATGGGCTCCTTGCCTTTAGTTAATTTTTACAATATAAAAACACTTGTATCTATGCTTCTTCGGTCCATATGACGTGTTTGCAAATATTAAATGTCAGCAGTTTTGCAAGAGATCATTGCTGTCTCGCTTTTTTGTCAGCTGAACCGCATCGGGGTTTCAACACAAAGTTAGTTTTTATTGCCACTGGCTTGATCAGGTGCATTGAAACATGCATCAGCCTCAATTAGTGGCTGATCCTATCTTTTACATAATAAACAAGGAATGGTCAAATGTGTGTCAGAATCTTTTATTTTTATTTTTTATTTTTAAAGGTATTGTCGTTTAATTAAGCACTTACTGGAGCACTGTGGTTTACACTCAACTTTAGGGTTTTTACCCAATCATGGAGCATGACTGACCAGATTGCTGCTTCCCATGGACTAGACATGCACTCAAGCAAATGAAAACCTGTTTATGTGCAACTTACACTGCAAGCTGATGCATTCCCCCAGGGTATGCTGTCCTGGTCAGAGAGCCATATCATCCATATCAAACATTATCACTGGCACTGGGCCATGACTGTCTAGTTGTGACTGACTGACTGCTGTTTCGAAAAGCTCCTCTATGATCCTGCTTCCTGTACTTCAACACAAAGAGGGCAGTCAATTAAAGCTAACACTGAAGTGCCAGTCGACTGAAATCTGAAGCTGCCCCTTTTGAAGTGAGAGTAACCGACATTTACTCCGCAGATAATTTTTGCTAAATTGTAAACTGATGGTGTGGACACAAAACCCATTTGTATGGAAGCAACAGATGGAGCTTTTAGTTTATTTCACTATTATGTAGGCTAGAATACAGCCTGTCAGTGGGGTGCTGTGCTGTTTTATACAACTTCAAAGCTACAAACTTTTTAATTCTGCAGTCAGAGAAATTACACTCACAATTAGTTTCAGTTCCAGTAAAGTTAAAACACACACACACACACACACAAAAAAAAAAACAAACAGTTGGATAGAGTAATAATTTATTTTGCATTTGAGGATAGTGAAACCTTTGTGGCTCTCTGTCAGTACAGAGAACTGTTTCTAATACACTGCTCACCGCACTTGAGCTGCAAAGGCCCAGATAAGAGTATTTTTAGTAACATAAAGTGAGATAACGCAGTACGATCTGGCCTGCCAGACTGTATCAATATGACTCGTCTTTCTTGATGCTAAACAGTAACATTGGATCTCAGACGTCGTTCTTTCTTTAATCGTTCACATGCTAAAGTTTAATGTTTGCTCAACACTAAGTTTACATTTGCTATAGTGCTTGACTTGTATCACAATGCAATGCCATGTCCACATGTTTATTAGTCTTTTTGATGTGCTGTTAAAAGCTTCATTTTCCCACTTTGCCTCACTTTTCATTTGTAAAGTGTGTTTGCATCCTTTTGATTTCCTTGTTATTATATTACTTTGATCCTCATGCTACAAACCATAGCAAACGGTAATATGTATTTGTCTTGGCTGACTTGCGTAGCTATTGTGCATATGCTTGCAGCAGCAGGTCTTTCAGCAAACAGCAGATCTCAAAAGTTTTGCACAGCCCTGTTAAAATAACAGGTCACCTTCCTAAACTTTTCTGCCTTTAGTGTGACGGTACAGTTGCACTGGCCAAACTTGTTTGCAGAAATGTGAACATGTTTGAACTATTCTTGAGTCAAAGTACTCTTTGATTCACTTTTAGCACTAATCCTTTATCAGGAGGGTTCATAAATCTTATCGTCCGATATCTTGACTTATTATTAATAATTACACATTATGTTTGCTACTCTGTTCAAAAGTCTGTCTTAACGCAGATATCTGGTGATCCTAAATGTATTTTCTGTCAAAAATATATCTGGACTCTAGCAAGCTTTATTTTCTTCTTGTGAAATTATTTCGTTGATTTGGATTCATTCTTAGCAAAGGCTGGCCCATGTGTTCAGATCCAAAAAACAAACAGCTGCAGCTCAAATTACTGAAGAAGGTAATTGTGGTGTCAGTAGAAGGTTGTGTATTGGAGTTTGCTGAGAGTCTGTAGGTCTTGCAGCAAACTAATCAGGGGTCAGTACTGATCACTGATCACCTCTGAAAGCACCAACAGTGGGCATGTGAGGATCAGAGCAGGATCATGAGCAACAGGCGGAACCAGTGCGATGCAGCAGGCATTGTTCTGACTTTGGATGCCGTCATCCATGTGGATGTTAGTTTGACGTATTAAACCTAGCTAGGTTTTGTTGTACACCTTGTCATGGAAACAGTATCACCTGTGGCTTCTGTCAGCTGAATAATACACTCTGTCACAAAGCAAGAATGGCCAAGAAAAGCTTCTGGGACGAAACAAAGAGCTTTGGGCGTTTATCCAATTGAAGATCAGTGGGATGTGCTGCACAAACAAGTTTCATTCATGAAGATCCCACCACACAACTGATAGCACTAAAAAGATTTGCAACATCTCGGTGTCAGACACCACTGTGGGTTTAGCGGAGACCCTGCCTCAATGGGTCAGCGCGTTAATTTGCAGCAACATGTAACGCCCGATGTTTTACCTGATTACTGCATGACAAATAGAGAGATATGTTACATGTGGTCTGCATATTTCATTTTGGGTTCGATCACCATCATTAAATGGATTGGAATATTGGAATATCTTTGAAAATAGTTTATTCCTAACCGTCTCCTTATTATCTACTTTGGCATACTGCTTTGATTTAAAGCTTCTTGGACTTGTTCGTATTCTACAACAATGCCATCGCTTTCTGTCCAGATTGCAGTTTCATTTTTCATATCTTTCACATGTTCTGCATAATCTAACCTACCCCCCTTATGTTAACCGTAGCATAACGGCGTCAGTACATGTCTCGTCGTACTTCATTAAGTCGATTAACCAAAGAACCAGCTGAAGAGAAAATATGAAATTACAGTTTCACCCTGCAGCTTTTATAGCAGTGACAACTGTGCCAATGTCAGCACAGATGCCATTGTGAAACTTTGAGAATGTCAGAGAATAGCACACTCCGTGGTTATAAATGACAGGGATTTATTGAGAGGTTTTACTGCAAATGTCAGAGGGAAAAGTTAAGTCTGAAGTTGCGTTGCGTAATGAGGCTGATCTTTGACTGGTACTCATTGACATAGCTCAGGTTGGGGATGCTGTAAAAATGTAGATGTTAAACAGGCAGTTTCTCCAAA